AAAGGGCAGGATGTGTTAGCAAGAAAAGTGACAGAAATAATATGAAAAATCCCTACATGGGGTAAAAAAAAATAAAGACTTCTGCACAGACAGACAAGCAGACACTCCTGATTTGTCCTCAGCCTGCACTTTATCCTTTCTATTTCAGAAGTCAGATCTTGCTCTTTGTTTTCCATTCATCACAACAAAACCAGCAGAACAAATAAATCTACAAAACAACCCCTCACCCTTCAGCGGTCCCTGACGGCTTCCGCGGGCTGGCTCCTGGTCAGATGCGCTGGCCTCTTCAGACCCAGCAGCCTGAGGCTGCTCCTTCAGATCCTTCCCGCAATCTGTGGAATTCAGGCATCTTTTTAATTTTTTTCCCCTTCTGCAGCAGAAATATTATCTATGCACACCGAGACGGGGATTTGTTTATTGACTCTAAAAAATGAGGGAAATTTCTCATTATTGAGAAGACTGAAATCTCCTTCCACATCCCATCTAAACACAGGAGCAACTTAGCAGTTTACTTCAGACTCTGTGAGAGTCAAGTTTAGCTTTAAATTTCACACAACAGCTTTTTCCTTCTCTACTCACGCATGCGCTTTGTTTATGGAATAATACAGTTTATGGAGTTCCAACCCAATAGGCCTTTTCAGGAACACAAACGAGACCGACCAATGCCTTCAGCACCCAAAGCGAAGTCGTGATGAGAAAGGGCAGAGTTTTGCAGACCGACTACCCAGCACGCCGTCCCCCGCCGAGCGCGAGGCTCCCGGTCCCTCTCCAGATCAGGTTCGGCAGTTACAGCTCCCGCAGAAAGCCCTGTCCGAACGCACAGCACACACTGACCCAGCACCAACCAGGCGACAGCATTCAACCACTTACATTTTTTAAACCATGACATTTAGCATTCATTTAGAATTAGCCTCATTCGTACTGTGTCCAGTTCTGGGCTCCCCAGTTCAAGAAGGATGAAGAGCTACTGGAGAGAGGCGAGCGGAGGGCTACAAGGATGGTGAGGGGACTGGAGCATCTCCACTACGAGGAGAGGTTGAGGGAACTGGGCTTGTTCAGCCTGAAGAAGAGAAGGCTGCGAGGGGACCTTATAAATGCCTACAAATATCTGAAGGGTGGGTGTCAGGAGGATGAGGCCAAGCTCTTTTCAGTGGTGCCCAGTGACAGGACAAGGGGCAATGGGCACAAACTGAAGCACAGGAAGTTCCGTCTGAACATGAGGAAGAACTTCTTCCCTCTGAGGGTGACGGAGCACTGGAACAGGCTGCCCAGGGAGGTTGTGGAGTCTCCTTCTCTGGAGATATTCAAGACCCGCCTGGACAAGATCCTGTGCAGCCTACTGTAGGTGACCCTGCTTCGGCAGGGGGGTTGGACTAGATGACCCACAGAGGTCCCTTCCAACCCCTACTATTCTGTGATTCTGTGATTCTGTATACTCAAGATCACCATTTTATGACACTGTTTAAAACGTGAAGTTTCCTAATTCAGCCAGGAAAGACTTCCTGAATCTGCTACTGGAACGTATCAGCACGGAAGCGGTACCGCCTGCTCTCTTCGCTGTTAGCAGAGTGCTTCAGGGGGTCAGCTGGTTTGCTCCTCTCACAGCATCTAAAGAATTAAGTTGTAGCATAGATGTGCTTAGTTTAGCTTGAGCATAACAATGTTTCCCACAATTTGGTAATGAAGGCTTCTTATGCATTTCTAATAATAAAAGCAGCTGTACTACTACAGATGAACATGCAAAAGAATGGTTTTCAACAGCACTTTATTGAAGCACTTCAAAACGATCACAATGATAGATGTTGCCTTTAACAGAATAAAATCTGTAATGTCATAATTAAAAGGCACTAATCCTGGCACAAAGGTCTACTTACCCACCTTCCACTGTGACGGAAATAAAAACATCAAGTATTTTACTCCTCCTCTGAAAGTGCAGACCCCCTCTCAGTGCCACCCCGCGTTTGCATCCAAGTGACACGGAAAAGCAAACCCCAATGTTTCACCAAGGCATACTTCAACGTTCGGCATCTGCGGTCCTGCAGCAATGGACTACTCATGGCAGGTTTACGACCCAGTGAGACAAGTCCTTGCACACTCATCTTTTGGGTGTAAGTCCTGAAGCAAGTACCACTCTCGGGCATTCCCACGCTGCTTCTCCCTTGACACGACCCACGGCTTTGCTGTTCATGTCATCGGCAACGCACTGCTCTTAGCGAGACAGCTCGGATAACCTGATTTACACCCCCACACACAGAATTTACACAGCTCTCTAGTCAGGGTCAGTGCGAAAGCAAGCCAGGAGGGAGCAGTGCTGGGGCATGCTACCCAAGGAAGCACATTTCTTTCACATTGAGTAAACACGCACAAAGCAAACCATGACATGCCACTGCACAGCCACAGTAACTATAAAATTAAACATTAGAAAAGTTAAAAGCTTGATAATCCAGCTAAGCCATACTTCAAGTTATTATAGATCCCTGCACAACATTCCTGTATTAATTTAACCAGAGAGACTGTTTAAGGCATTTTCTTTGGCCTCCTTCCTTCTACCAGAAAGTGAAGATTATGAAGTTTTATCTATCAGCATCCAAAAAGGACCATCTTCCCAGCCTGTTTCCATAAAGATGTAAGGAGAGAACACAGATCAGTAAAACTAGATTACTAGCTCCACAGATTTTGAAACAGCTCCACACCTGTGCATCTTCCATGCTGCCAAGCGGTAGGACAGAACTGCTCTGTGCGACTGCCGAGACACTCAGCTGTACTCGGGGTGATGACGAGAATTACGCTGCGCTGTAACTGCACTTGAAACCACCATCCACACCGACATCGACGGGACGTGAACACTCCAAGCAAAACTTCCACACAGCCCAGCGCTGTGGGTGCACGCACAAACACTTCTTCCCAGTCTAGTCCAGAGACCTGCTGCTCTGTGAGCAGTCAGCGCAGTCACTTGGACTGAACAGAACCAACAACAAGTATTTAGAGTTGATGGCTATCTTAAATTATCAGGACACCATACAATGCCAACGCATCATGAGGCCATAAAGGTATGACTGGTGTCTAACTTGCATGCCCATTCACGACCAGGAGTTCTCTCTGGCTCAGTGCTTGCCTGTTCACAAGACCATTTTTCTTAATAGCGGTCAAGGCCTCCTGCAGATACACCAGAAGAGTTTCAGGACTACAGCTATTAATGTTTAAGTACAATATTTTACATTACCAAAACGCATCTCCAAAAGCAACTTGTTAAGAGGATGGGAAATTTAATCAGTCTCTTTATTGTCCAAGCTCATTACAGAGCCCGAGACAAGTAATAATCATGAGAGATTAGACTGGCCCAACAGATTTCTAGAAGCAGAACCCAGTTAGAGCACCCAAGTTCAGCAGACAACACTGCTAACGCCCGTCTTAGGCTCCAAACCTTTATTACTAGAGAAAAGGTTTAAACTTGGACTTAACTGTGCCAGATGAGTGAGTAATTTCTTTAGTCCAAGGCTGAAAGGTGGCAAGAACAGCCTCACTTCTCTGAAAAGACTTATTACACTTCTCTTCTGTTTCAAAATGAAGGTAGCTGGCAAGTTAATCAGCTCTGAAACAGAAACAGCGTAATCCTCTGCCCTGGATTCTAATAGTCTCTTCAAGGTCTACATTTCTGCTGTGTGAGTAACTAAAGACATCTGGAAGAACAGTACAAGAACAGCTGTGAAAACCTAGGTGGAGAGAAGAAATGCAAATGTACTTTTTCCAGTACACACCTCACAGGCAGCCAGCGTAGCTCTCCTCGCTATTTACATTTAGAAGTAGAAACTGTTACTTAAATACCAAGCAATCAGCTGTTGGCCAAGTTCACACCACAGCCGATTTAAGTGCTTAGTACTGGTATCAGACCACCCAGGGTGACAAATCCTACAGCAGTAACACTGTTTTCAGATTTTGTGTTGAGGCATTTTGCTTTGAATGTTAACTTCAGGTAACTTGTTCTGCATGCAGGAAACTCCCATCAACTGAAGAAACACGCACACGATTCTTTACTCAAGAGTTCGTTAGTCCTTCCCACCCGCCGAGTTACCCGTGAAGGATGCTAACTGACCAGTACTCAGGCCTAAAAACCAACCTGCTGCAGCTCAGTAAGTTCGAAAGCATACATGGAGGCAGGCTGTGAACAGAAGACATCCAATTTGTTACTGTTCCTTGGAAGAGGTTGACGTATGACCCTGTAAGTTAAGCCGTGACCTAAGAGAAATCTATGCAACAAAGCATTTGGGAAGAACAGTCAGCGTAACTTCAGATGAAAATCGTGGCAAAGATTTCGTTCAAGACCTCAGTCAACAAAAGCCTCACGTTCCAATGAGGTAAGAATCTTTATGCTTTAACTGGCAGTGAACGATCAGGCACTGCTAGATCTGACACTTGTGATAGGAAATAAGCTCTAGGCTTGAAAACAAGAAACAAGCTGTAGGCACACGCGTTTTTCTCCTGAAGACAGAGCTCCAGAAGGCTGCCCCTACTTAAGACCCTCCAATCTCACTAATTAGCGCTTTCCATAAACACAAAAAAGCACTGAGGTCTGCTGAGACTGACTAGCTAAGCTTGCTCACGTAAGCTGAGAAAGCCCCAGGCCCAAAAGGTAGTTTTGTAAGCATTTCACTTGAATAGTCGAACCACAGAACATACAGAAGCTCAAGGCTTTACCGAGCCTTCTTCCCCCGCTGTGATCTTGTGGGAGAAGAGACAGACACCCCATAACATATTGCCACGAGTTAAGCCACATCAACTCAAGTCAGTCAGTTAAGTGTCAATACAACCCTCAAAACATAAGTTTATTGAATAAAGCCGAAGAGCAGTAAACCAACATACGCATCCACCTAAATAAAAAAATTCACGTATTTACAAAGTTCAGTAATTGTATAAGTTGTTCACATGCAGAGAGTAATGCACAGGTTAACAATTGGTAGTGTTTGGATGCCATAAATGCTGAAAGCAGTGAAGTATATAAACACCAAACACATCAAGTTTAGCTATAGGCCAGTTAACTAAACAGTGACCTGGTCCCTCACAAAGATTCACACATTCTAATTTAGATTCCTTATTTTAGGCACAAGCAAGTTTGCTAAATAAAAGTAACTGTAGCAGTTCCCGGTGAACTAGGGACTACAGTAGCAAGTTAATACACCCTCTCCTCTACAGCACCAGAGTATGAATTAATTGAAACCATGCTTCAGAGAACTGAAAGGGGACAAGAAGTTAAAATGCAAGTTCAGAGTGAATGCAGGCAGGATGTAGTGTCTGTGCAACAATGCGACAGTTGGTACAGAACAGTAAGGCCATGGCAGTCTACATTAAAACTGGCTTGTCGTAACTGATATGGACTAAACAACCAAAGGCTCCGACATAATGCAAACTACATTTAGGTGAAGAATCACACACAGTGTGAGGCAACACAAGCAGGTGTACCATGTATCTGCATACACTAGTAAGCGATGCCGACGCTACTGTATGAACAAACCAGTCTTAACAAGTCTGTCCCTTTAAATATACTGAAGTCATTGAGAAAGTAAAGCTACAAAAACATTACAGTCTTTAGTTTATACATACTTCCCTATACCGTAGGAGCTAGTCAAGAAACAGGATCAATTCATTGGCTCTCTTGTGCTTTGACACAGCAGAACATTTCATCTTGCAACTTCCACTTCGCACATGGTTACATCAAGAAAGCAGGCAGGCCTAGAGTTGTCACAATAGCCTAGATGTTCCATAGCACCAGTGAAACTGTGCCCAGCCATTCCATGAGCAGGAGAGACACTAGACAATTACACAGATATTGTGCTAAAGGTCAACAACTGACTCTATACAAAAAACATCAGTAATTTAAGTGTCATGCAGCTGCTCAGAATGCGTGTTCTGGATTCAGATAGAGACCACTAGTATCTGTAGATAGAAAAATGTATTTGAACACAGTCTGATGTTCCTAGCAATTTGTTTTCATGCTGGAATACTCCAATTTTTGAAAGCTTGACAGAACAGTCCATTCCCATCCACCACACATGTTAAACAGAAGCAACAAAATGATTTTAAACGTTTGGCTCTTTCCTAATTCATCACGAGAGTTTTCTTTTTCAAGTGACAGGATAAGATCTCAGCTGTAGATTAGTGATGCTGATCTATGCCTTGTGCTCCCCTCTGCAAACAGCTTCCATTTCTCTGCTTACATACACACATCACATGCATCTGTGAGATAAATCAGCATCCCACAACTCACGCTTAAATGTTTTCTAACTACTGTATGTGGCATCTTACAGAATCTTAATGCTGTCAAGCATCAACAACAAAAAGCCACTAAACACTAGAAATAAAACACTTGCTGAAAATCATATAAAAACCTGGCCCTGAAAAACCAGAACAGAGTGTACCATCATAGTTAACATGGTAGAGAGATTTTTTTTTTTAAAAAGCCCCCCCACAACCCTCCCACCACAGATGGTTGTAAAATAAATATTTGTGCTGACTTTATCATGACAACTCTAGTTGTTTTGTGACAGAATAGGAATACAAGTCTTCAGCAGTGCACATGAGAAATGAACCGTGAAAAGGCAGATTCTTGATCCAGGACTTTTGGGTAATATCTCATTATGGAGGGAAGTGGACAATTGAGATTATGGCCAACTGGTACTGGAGATTCCAGGAAGACTTCAGCTTCTTCTAGATTTTGAATGCTGAATAAGCCACTGAAGCGTGATATCTAGAGAGAGAGAAGAGAAGTTCCATATTCAAGTGTCTACCTGTATTTGTATAACTGGCATCACTTTGATATGCCACCATCCTCAAATACATGACAAGAATATCCAGCCCTTCTCTAGAGGATGGTCCAAGACCAATGAACAGAATGATTTTTTGGAATGCTTGCTGTCTGTGCTTTGGTCCTATAACTGCCCAGCTTCCTTTAAGTAACATTTAAAGGAATGGTCCCAGACATCCTGGTTCCTCAGTCAACTGCACCTCTAGGAAAAAGACATCCCTTAATCTGATACTTTGGTATTGCTCACATAACTAGTTTTAAGATCAACACTGCTCTATTTAGCCAGTCTGCCTCTCCTCACCTGATGCCAACCAAGTTAGTTTAGCCCTACAGGACAAGGCATCAGGCTCCTTGAAAGAGGTCCTCCTAAGGAAGCCAAATGCACTAGTATCACACCAGCCCAATGCTTCCAGCAGCACCTTCCCTACAGCAGCAGCGATGCTCAGCTGTGCTGTGAGCCCTGTGCAGGAGATATGATAGAAGGGAGGATCTGCTTCTCCTATCCACTACGTTTGAATCTTTAACTGACAGTAAGGTGACAAAGGCTTCTTGGATTAGCAGCCAGAACTCCACAGGCTCTTCGTTTTTCCTGGAAAGCCACTGAGTCTTTAATAGAAAGCAGTTCTGGTATCCTCGACCACTTGTTCCTGGGACCACCAGCCCAAAGTCTCCCTGATCAGTCAATCCACGTTAGCCACCAATGAACCAGGGTTAACCTCATGGCAGCCACAAGAAGGCACCCGGAGAAGGATGGCACGTGTTGCTAAGCACTGTGTTTTCGTTCAGTTGAGATAACGCGGTCTATTTGCAATGCGAGTGTCAAGTACTTGGTATCACACAGTACCATGGTTTCTGCCTTTGAACTCCAGAAATTCTAAAGCAATTGATGTCAGCAACAGAAAAATTTACTGTTTGGCTGCATGGAGTAGTGGCTAGCACAGGCCACAACACGAATCGCTTTGATAAGACAGCAGGGGAAGATGATTATTTCAAGGGAATGACCACTGAGGAAAAACTTGCTGCAAGTACCTGCTAGTCTCATGAAGTGAGGCAGACTTGAGAGTACCTGACAGGAGCACAAAACCATTTAGGCCAAGCTAACAGTGAGACTAGTCACCTACTTGCTGCAAACTAAAGAAAGGCAGCAGATTTCACAGGAGACTGACATCCGTTTTGGTAACTACAACCCCTACAACTTTGACACCAGTCAAGCTTCCTCACTGCCAGCAGGAGTCATGCTGAATTTAACCAGTGCACTGGCACATTGTTCTTTGATTTGTTACCAGTTTCCTGAAGCTTAAGAAGTTACAATCCCCAAATCCATCCTCTGGCAGCTCTTCAGAATACTTAGCATTTTAGGTTCATAGTTACCTATATTATCTTTCTCTTTGCAAGAAATTGAGTAGCAGCAGATTTCTCTGTCCTGAATAGCAGCAAGGTTCCTATGAAAGAGAAAACATTTCAAGATACACTTCACTCATAACAAGGACTCTTACACTGAGAATCTAAACTGTTCCCCGTTCATCTTCTCCACATAACTTGTTTCTGTACAGTGTTTCACCTACCTCCTACTGCTGGATTTTCTACTTATAAATGCAAGCTTCTTGATCTAACAACCCCATGTACATAAATTCATTTATTGAGTTAAAGCAGCCTTTCTCAGGAAGGGTTAGACTTACATCTTTTCAATTAGCTGTTTCTCATCCAAAGCATTAGGAAGGTCTCTTTTATTTCCAAGTACTAGAACCTGAAATCCAGAGCAGAAGGAAACAGTTGCAGCTTTGCTTTTGGTTTTTGGTGGTGTTTTTGTTTTTTTTAAAAAATAAAACCACAAAAAAATCCCACAAACAGTAAACTCCAGGGGAGTCTGACAAGCAGTCTGCATTAGGCTATCAAATCCGACAGAATGAGACATTCACTTCTAAATCAGACCAAGAAGGAAGCCTGACGTAGTCACAGGGAAAAAGCGGGTACAAATAAACTGTTATGTGCAAAAACCAAGCATGAGAACACACCAGTTGATAAAACTGAGAACAATCCCAGTAGACTTTCAGCTGAGATTCCCCAAACTTACTCTATACTTCTGTACTACACTCTGGTTAACCTGCACTACGGTAGACTCTAGAAGAGAGCACAACTCATACTGTGGAATACTCTAAACCACTGTTCCAATTTTTTTTTTTTTTAGCAGCCACTGAACAAGAATAACATCACTGAAGGATTGACCAAGGTCAACAGTTTGATCTAAGGCACTAGGGCCAGGTATTGTTCATGCTTATACTAACCAGTAAGGTTAGGCCTTACACTTGACTTAAGAGTTCAAGCCAGACTTCAGAAATGCTGAAGTTATGCACGTTCCTCAAGCAAGTTTAATATTTTGTAAGGCGATATTACTTACAGGGATTCCTTGTAACTGTGGCTTATCTAGAAGATTGTGCAGCTCATTTCGAGAGGCTTCTATTTTTTCACGATCTGCAGCATCTACCATGTAGCTTTAAAGAGAATTTAAGGTTAGGTCAGTGAGACTGAACTACTTCAGAAACAGCAGTGGTTCCTTTACAGTGTCATTTCTAAGCACATTCAACGGGGCTTTAAACAAAGCTAGGTCTTCTGAGCAAAGAATTTGGTTCTTTTAAAAAAATTCTAAGATCAGAGTAGAAGAAAGATTCTTTGAGTTAGACAGCACTGCCACCCAGTTCAGACAGGAAGCAGTTAGTACTCCAGATCAGACACTGATAAGAAAATAACCCATCTTGAGCCCTGAACTTAAGGGTAAAAAAAGGTCAATACAGTTGCAGTACAGTTTCAAAATTAAAATGAGTACTACCGAGTCAGGCATGCACTGTTAGAAAGGCTACTCACAGCAGAGAAGCACATCTGAGGTTAAGTACTACCTGAAGGAAGACGACACTTACACAATAGCATTAACTCCTCTGCAATATCGCTCCCACATGCTTCGGAATCGTGGTTGCCCTCCTATATCCCAAATCTTAAGGCAAGGGGAAAAAGACAATTTAGCCATGCACTCTGTTTAAACATGTCACACGAAGATAAGACAAGAAATCAAACCACAGTTTTTCCTTTCTCCTTAGGCCAGCTGCAGGATCTGTCACACATCAGAACAGAAATAATCCCTTGTACAGCTGCTCAAAGCTTGCAGGCCCAATAGCATCAGATGCAAACCACACCATCTTACACCAGACGCAAGAACACACCCACGTACTAAGTTTACCCACCGTGGTATACATGCAAATAAAATAAGATATATTGACTTAAAACTTTGCTTTTGATGTAAGCCCTCCCTTAAGCAGTGCTGATGATCAGAAGAGGAGGATCTCTGGGCCCTACACATGTGAAAATTAACTCGGATAAAGCCAGACAGCATTGTCAGAACACTGCTTTAACTAGGCCATAAACCTGGAAACCACACACAGATTCCCATTTAAGAAATCCCATGAATAAACATAAGCATATTCTTAAGCTACTTCACAGATTTAGCTGAGCCTCTTCAGTTTCCTGTATTTGTCCTAACAGTGGAAGCAAAACAGAGCAAGCATATAAATTCTAAACTAGAAGCTGAAGACAACCTTGCATGGATTTAAAAAGAGAATTAACAATGGTAACATACCTTTATTGTAACATTACCCTTCGTAACTTTTCTCATGTTGAAGCCTACAGTAGGAATCATATCTTCACTGAATTGACCTGACTGGAAAAAAAAAAAGGCTAGATTTAGTGGTTATCTGATGCAGTTAGTTTACACGGTAAAACACCATAAGCTTTTTGTAACCATTTGCCTTCCAACTGAAGGCTTTATAGCCAAGAAGTCATAGATATTATATTCACGTGCACTGAAGCTTCTGCAAAGTCAGTCATTTCTTACAGGCACTTACATAATTTTCCAAACCTTGAGGCAGTCAGGGGAGCAAAGTTACTTGGGGAGAAGTGCACAGCTTAACAGATGGACAGCCGGGGGGGCAAGTATAGGAAAAGAGCCATTCACCTACTTCTGCTGGAGCCAAATTCTGTATGGCAGGATCTCCTAGTTACCTGGAAGCTAGAAACAGCCAGAAAATTTTCCTCTGATGCAAGCGACTCTACAGACAACATTCACAGTAATAAATCACTCGTGGAGTAAGCCTCCAACCCACAGGTGTGGGTTAACTCCCTGAGGAGTTTTAAGAGGCTGGAAAGTGGAAGGACCTGACAGGTCTGCTTCCTGCTAAGCTACACAGTGTCCAACTTGCTCAGCAGCGGAAGAGGCAATCGAAACGCAAGCAGAGAGTATTTCATCCTGTTTCCACCAGAAGTTCAGGATCACTTTAAGCACTGACATTAACTGCTGCAAAACAGTGTTATATTAGAGAGGTTCTCTAGTGGCAGATGTTTCACTATCTGTTACACTTTTATCTGCAACAGCTTGAAAGCCAAGTTCGCAGCTATCTCCTGTAGGTAACCGAGGAGCCATAACAAGTGTTATCAACAGTCGTACAGATTTCTCCCATGCTCCCTCGGCTGTTCAGCAGAAGGTGAATCTCAGCCACGGTGGTCATTATGCATCTCGCTACATCTATTACGTGTAATAGAATCAGACAGCCAACCAGATTTGGAAAAAGGTCAACTCAGATGCATTCAGTTGTTTAATCAGGGTTCGAAATCATAGCAGCAGAAAGTCTGCTTCTCTCCCCTGACGCTGCACAGAGAAGCTAGCTCGAGTCAAAAGCCCTTCAGCATCTATGAAGCTGACGTCACATCGCCCCGTAGTCAGGACCCAACACAAGCTGGAAGCAGTAACTGACTGGACATGCTTTGAGTACATGCTGTTCAGAGTTTGCAACCAGAAGATGATCAGCTTGTAATACCGATGCTTTGTCATTCCATCCCATGCCTAGAAGCCCACACTTCCTTCAGCTTGTTCCCCCTACCTCACCCCAATGTGTAATATTCTACTAGAAAACCAAAGCTGCAAGCTTCACACAATACAGACTCCGGTATAATGCTGATAAATATTAGAAATCAACTGAAAACATACAGATGGCATCTCGGTTGGGCTTATTTGGCCAAGTCTTTCAGTTAAATGGCACGTTCATCCTGCTGTTGACCTCCAAAACAAATACATCCAGAGCTTGGTTTTGAAGCTAGCAGTTCCCTGAACAGGTGGTGACTTTTCACATTTAAGATCTTCCTTCCAGATGCATGGCTACACAGACTAACCGTCTTTTAAAAGGAGTAAAAAAACCAACTAAGTCCTTGAATCCAAGGAAGACAACACTAAAAACCAGTGATGACCTGAAAAACGGACAGCTTAAACCTCACTAGGCAGGTGTTCTGCATTCTCACTCAAAAGAAGTTTCAACTGTCTAAGCTATACAGAAGAGCACGTATCAGTCTCATGCAGCACTGTTTCAGAAACTACTCTAGCCTTTCTGCTAACTTAGCAAGGTAGGTGCCCAACCCCAACGTTCATTAGCCTCCTGCTCCTGCCCAGAAGCCCAGGGCGTGAGCTGTCCCTTTCAGCCAGTTTGATCACGCGCAGCTCAGCAGCCCATGGTTAACCATGCCTTCCATGTCTGATGCAGTTTACTTCAGCTCATAAAGGCCGCAGTGCCCATCTTGCCTTTGAAGGGTCAGCTCGCCATGGTTGCTCAAGAACCACTGCATTCCTGGGATCCTGGGGTGCATCAAGAAGAGTGTGGCCAGCAGGTCGAGGGAGGGGATTCTGCCCCTTTACTCCGCTCTCGTGAGACAGAATCACAGAATCACAGAATAGTAGGGGTTGGAAGGGACCTCTGTGGGTCACCTAGTCCAAATCCCCTGCCGAAGCAGGGTCACCTACAGCAGGCTGCACAGGACGTTGTCCAGGTGGGTCTTGAATATCTCCAGAGAAGGAGACTCCACAACCTCCCTGGGCAGCCTGTTCCAGTGCTCCGTCACCCTCAGAGGGAAGAAGTTCTTCCTCATGTTCAGACGGAACTTCCTGTGCCTCAGTTTGTGCCCATTGCCCCTTGTCCTGTCACTGGGCACCACTGAAAAGAGCTTGGCCCCATCCTCCTGACACCCACCCTGCAGATATTTGTAGGCATTTATTAGGTCCCCTCGCAGCCTTCTCTTCTTCAGGCTGAACAAGCCCAGTTCCCTCAACCTCTCCTCGTAGGGGAGATGCTCCAGTCCCCTCACCATCCTCGTAGCCCTGTGGATCCACCACAAGGAAGCTTTTACAGAATCTTCAGAAAAGCTGCTGCACCTTAGACTACTTTCCAAGAGCCCTCTACCCATGCTACACATCCAGGTGGCATAAAAACTTGTTCTGACTTGCTTAAAAACTACACTAGAGTCACTCAGCTACAACTCAAGTTTCAGCTTTCTGTACTCTGCTTTGTAAGCGAGACAAACCAGCCCGCTCTGGCATACTTTCTGAACTGGCAGAAGCAGAAGGAAAGGGTAGCAGGTGCCTTCACCGAGCTGCCTCCGAAACACGAGCACGCCCTTCCTCTCCATAGCAGTTCGGAGGCTGCGGGTTCTGAGCTGAGGCGGACACTCCACAGCTTTGAGAGGCACACCTGACTGCAGGTTTTGAGCATACTGATCACGTCAGATCTTCGTCTGAAAGTCTTTGGTACAAGCGTGGGTGTTCCTCTGTTCACAGTTAGTGTACCTGAAGAAAGCTACTGGCAGCCACCTTACGCTTAAAACAGGTAAAAACATCGTTAAAACAATTGCAATAGATTTTGCTAGCAGACAGTGATCTCCTTTGACAGGTTCCGCTATTGTATCCAACTGTCTAGGCCCAGAAACAGTTCTCTAAACCCAGAATTTATAAGGCTTTTGTTTACTACCTCTACAGAGAAAAAAAGCCAGGAATTCAGCTGCATCTTACGAGTATCCATATGAAAAAGCTACTCGCACAGCAGAAAAAGAATATGCTTTTATTAGCAGGCAGTTCTGCTTGAATCAGACTTCCCTCAGCCCCCCCCCCCGAGCAGATTACTCAGCCCTATCCCTCTGTGTTCACAATACGATGCTTTCTCCTTCTAAAATAGGCACCAGCCAAGTTTGATAAGCACAGAAATATTTTCAATTCCCGATCTGAAAGTGCTTGGCTGTTGTCATATGCAGTAGCATTGCTCAAACACTCATCAAGGACAGCAAGAGTAGTTGCTTACAAGTCTAGCAACAGCATCTGTTTTCAGCACTTGTGAATATTCCAGCGGGCAGACACTGTACTTCATGCAGGCCTCCTGGAAGGTCAGCCTTGTGTACTAGAAGTGATTATGAATTAAGCCATTAGCTCTGAGGTCACACAGACCATACAGCACTAATACAAACTGTTTGCTGAAGGTCACAAAACAAAGTTAACTCTAGCCCCTGTGTGAAAGATAAGAAAGAGGGAGACTAAACAGACCAAATTCCAGAGACCACATGCAGAAAGAACGTGCAGGACTGGTCTTTAAGCCTCCTGATTTAAGAGATGCTCCCTCTTCAATATTCCAAGCTCCTGGAGAACCCAAGCACGTGATTTTAGTGCAACATGAACCCATTTATCTGCCTGAGTACTTATGTTGGATAAGGATTATTCAGAGGAAAACTGCTTCCAGACTGAACAAAGTCCCAGCACTGTATTCCAGTGCAGGGCCGACACCTACCTGCACGGATCAGTCTGGGTTCAGCTCACCTCGTATCGAGTACTTGCACCAACTCTTGCACACACTGTAGCATTTATGAATTGCACTCTCCGTCTCGCTGCCAGATCCAAGCCTGGCCCACCGGTAACACACCGGCTAACACCAGCTTCAGTGTGTGCTCTGAACCACCTCCACCTGTAACCCCGGCAGAGCGGCTCTCCCGCAGCCCACCAAGGGGCCGGGCTCTGAGAGCCAGCTCCCGCACAAGTTTTGCCTCGGGAACTGGCCCACAGCGTGCCAGCCTCAGGCACAGCTCATTCCCAGAGGGCAGGGCCACAAGACTTCAGGTGAGTGTTTAACTTCGTGTCACCTAACATTCCAGAAGCGTACAAAGGATGCAAGTTTAGTCTTTTTTAATATTTAGTTAATATTAAAATAAGCTACTTACTAAACCTACCATTTCCAGTTGTTTCAAGTCAAAAACCCCACAAACCAACCACACTCTGGCTACTTCATCTGCTGCTCCATCGCCGTAAGCTACAGCCAGCAGACTGCCAGCTTCCAGGGAGTTACACTCATCAGACTGATAGCACCAAGGCCTAAGCAGCTTGACCAAGTAATTGAGTGCAAGACCAGAACTCCTGCTTCCTGCATCTTCCTTTAAAACTCCTTTCAATACATTAAAGGAACCATTACAGGCAGAGCGCAAACTGCAGCAGTGGAACGGGTGTTCCCTCCTCTTCCTTTCCAGCGAGAGCGGAAGCTCTCTCCTGCTGGCACTGCGGGGCACGCTGCCTGCAGTGGCCCATCCACACGGTCCTCCACCACCAATTCACAGCTACCAGATGTTGATTCCACAGCCTGCACAAGGAGAATCTCTGTATGGGCAAGAAAGGTCAGGGCAGCCTTTAGCTTGCATCTCATAAAGCAAACGTGATTCATTACTGTCACAGGACAAGTTTCTTCATATAGGCTTTCTTACTACACAACAAAGATTTTTATCTTTATTCGTAATACTTTTCATCCATCTAGAAGAGATCACGAACAAGCTTAGCCAACTAGCAGACATCACTGGAGCATGGATTC